GTAATTTGAGATTTTCTCCTCAAAGAAAAGGTTTTTAAAAGTTCCGAAGGTGTTTTTTGGAATCAGCTCGATGAGACAAATCTAAATGTGTAATCAAACATCAGAAAAAATTCCACTCGAATTTTGAGTTAGCTGAACCTTTGATGAAAAGGGCTTCTTGTCTTGACGAAGCAGATAATAAAACATCACTCAAACGCTAACTAACAAATATTCAACCTGTCATCTTCCTATGATATAATGGATAGCAATAAGTTTCCAAAAGCTGTGTCAGGCTAGCCTTCCAGTCAGATCTGCAGTTGAAGAATAGTAACGACATAGTTGACCATGACAAAAGTTTGTAAGCTGTAGGGAAGATATTGGGCTATTGAAAATGGATGACTTGTCAACACCCTATACGGATAACTGTAGCTGCAAAGCAAAGTATTTCTTCTTCTGTCCCAATTACCTCAAATTTAGTTGCTTCAAGGTAGAAGATTATTGTAAATGTTTTTAGCGTCGAGTAGGCGATGCTCAAGATCACGGTCAAGATAATTTACCGTGAATTTGTCATACCACGAAAAAGTCTCAATTGAGAGGTATGCTTTATTAAAGTCAAAGGGTAAAATAAGTGAAAGTGTGTTGTCTTATGTCGTCAAAATTTCAGAAATTCTGATCAATTGTGATTGCCGAAAGCATCCTCAATTATCAATGATTTCTGAAGAACTCACGGTTGATCCGGAAACAATTACGATGATGCCATGGAATTCAAACTACTTTCAATTAATATTAAACTTCAGCTATAATCATTTTATTAAAGATATTTCTTTTGGATGATAGTCTAGCGAATCTAATAGATCAAAATTGAAACATGAAAAACCTTGTTCGATTGTGATTACCTAATATGTATGTATGTATTATTGTTGTTCACGAAAAGTGAGAGTCATCAAAGGTTCCCGACCTATAATAACAATGACTCAAGCCAATAGAAGAGTAACAACAATTAGACAAAAGAAAAAGACTAGAGTAATGGACTGTGACAGATTAAGTAAACAAATGATCTAATATGTCAGAAAAGAAATAAGAGTTAAGGTTCAAGCTTAAAATAGATGTCTTATTCTAATAAATGGGTAGATAGTACAAATGTTCATCAAAAATATGAGATGAACTCATAAATTTGTTTTTTTCGAGATAAATTGTCCAAAAATGACAGTAAATATTATGGACAGGTTATCTTGACCTCAAACTACAATGATATTACATAAACCATAGATATAAAAGCTAGAATTTAGACAATCATAATAGGAAAGTTTTTTTCTTCATTTCAATGGGCTTTATGTTAATGCGGGCGCTTAATAAAAGAAATTTTAATGGAAACTATTTTCGTATCAATAAAAGATATTATATTATTTGACAACTTTTTCACCAACGAAAATGCCATTACCCATAGACCAATAAAAAAACGTTTGTGTTTTACCAGCTGATCGAAACCTGTAGGAAGAAAAACGCATATGAATAAAAAACAACAACTATACAAATATCACAATATACCATCAGTCAAATTGTCAGATTATTCTCAAATATTTTTCATGTGTCTTTTTAGGCAAAAGTAGAAGATAAAGTATTTTTGATTGGGTTCTAGGATCATATATATTGTATTTCTTTCGTCCTATGGATAAACAATAATAGTCTTTTACGCAGATAGCGTGACTTTTCTTATTTCTTAATTCGCTATTGTAAATTTCTTGTCAATGTAGTAAAAAGTGAAGACGTCTAATTCCATTTCATTATTAACTGTTCATTTTAGATAAACTACATTTCTTTAGCATGATTCGTTCTACTCATTTAAATTTAACATTGAGAACGTTTTAACTTGAATGTTTGGAAGACGACTAAACAAAGTCGATGAAAATCAAAAAACAAAAGAAAAAATTATCGACGTTATTAAAAGTTTAAACGATCGACTAAGATATTTAAAACAATTATACGGTAATTTAGCATACGTTTTTATACTCTATATTGTGTTGTTTAAACGGTGTTTGTTCATTTTATTTAGACGTATTACCAACTGATGAGCTACAATCATTTTTCAAACAATCATATCAATATGTATTTCATTTATTTTTCGAAAACTTTTGTCAAGTTGAAAATAATATAACAAGAGCCTGTAAGTGAAACGAAAATGACAAAGAAGAAAATATACAATTAAATGAGTTTTCTTTCTTTTAGTTTCCAAACAGAATCAAATTGAACTTGATTATGTGACAAATTTACTTGAGGTAGAAAGAAACAAGCACTTCATTCTATTAAATAAACTAGCTAAATCTGATGATAACAAAAGGATGAAGTAAACTTAGATCTTGCGTTGCCCATTGCTAAATTAGGGACTCTATGGAAAATCGAGAGCGATTTTGACCTTTTATTCATGTTATTGCTATTGTTTTCTGCAGATCAAACAGAACGTTGTAACGTTTTTATGATAGGCGATTGTTTCGATCATATATTTTTACTGTTATTTTAAATTTTAGCGCATTTTAACACTATTACCAGTTTTGGTTCATCAGCGATGGCAAGCTCATTGTATATGTAATATAATCAAAAAATATTTTGTTGTTTGTAATAGTCCTCAGGTATGTATTTCTATAACGGCTTTTGACTTCTCTATTTTGGTTGTTTTTTTCTTTTTCTAAAAGGGTGTTGCACGTGGTATTCGCTTGTTCATATTGTGGTATCAAATATTAGGCAAAAATGCAGTTGATGATGAACATTATTTATTCAAAAATTTAATAAGAAATTGGAATCAATCATTGGGTATAAGTAATAATAATACAGGAACAATAAAATCAAATAGTGAAAAAACAGATTTATATGATGAACCTGAAAAGGAACGATTTAAAACGGCTCCTGGTAACTATGGTATTCGATTTATACTGTGCTTAGATTAGACTTATTAGAAACAGTCATTTATGTAGATTCGGATACAAGACATTTTCAAAAGAATGTCTAATAGTTTCCAGTTTACAGATAAAGAAACCTTCGCAAGTGTCAGTCTGGAATTTTGACGAAACATATTGTAATTAGTAAAGTAAACTTGTAAACAGATTATAAACTTGTTACAAGGTAGTGTAAAATGTTTTGGGTCAAAAAGTATTCCAAAACGCCATATCTCGCACTATATAACAAACCTTGTTAGGGCAGCCCCTTGTGGGGCTAAGATGGTAAAATTTCTCTACATTAGCCGAGAGATGGTATTGGAAATAGTGTACACTAACATAGAGGAGTAACAAAAATTACTGCTGTCTTTTAAGATGAATACATTACCTTTTCAAGGGGGATACCCCTCCTAAATAAGATCATTGAGAACTACTCTATTGAGAAGAATACACCGCCAGGTTAAGATAAATACACCTTAAGTTAAAAAGTAGGTCAAAAACAAGGCTTTCGAGTATAAAACTTCAATTGTGTCTCCTTTGGAGATACGGAAGGAATTTTCATCATTTTTCGACGGATAAAAATTAAATATTGTTTTAACTCAGCAATCATCTAATGATGACAACTAAACACAATTTATATTGGTCAGCATATTTTACTACTTTTCTATGTACGATATGTTTCATCAAATTCTTATAGTATCCCTTGTGAGCTTAAAACTGACTTATTTGCTGATTTATGTCAATTAAAGTCCTATCTTTTTCATTTTATAAAGATTATTTTCGTTGGGTCGACATTGTACCAATATGGCCAAAAAATGCAAATGAGCACGAGCCAAGCGTTGATCGTTGGTTATCTTATGTGTTACATACAATGTCTGACACAGTAAATATCATATTAGATAAAAACGAAAAGACACATTTGATAAAACATCTTTTTTTCAGTGTAAACGTGTACTATGGGAGCCCGATCACACTGCTAGTCGTATACAAAAACAAGAAGATTGTTTTCGATTTTTATTCAATATGTTCAATAAATATTATTTACCAGCATTATTTCCCACATTTTCAAATGAAAATAATATTTATGATCCAAACATGCCAAGTATGTTAAATTATGTTCTATCTTTATGTAACACGCATGTCTAGAAAGGAAAAATGACTGATGCGTGCAAGAAAAACGTATGGCAGGTCGCCCTGCTCAAGCTGGAGGGTTGCGGAAACCCTGCCCGCGTTAAATTGGAGCCGTTTATTAGTACCTTGACCGGCGGTTCTCTGGGTACTGGTTGTTGGTAATGAGCAGACGGATCATCCCTGTATTTTAAGTTCCAAAGTATAAAATCATAGAAAGTTTCATCAAGAAAAATATTTCTTGAATCATTATACGGCAAGAAATGAAAAAGAAGAAGAAAAAATCATCTGGCAGATATGTGCAGGTCTACTCATGATTAGCAAGCTTTTCCGAAGAAGGATTTCCATCTAAAACTCGTAAACATATATGTGCAGACAGAATGTAGATGAAAATACCTCAGATTTACGTTTACATCCCATAGTCCAAAAGTAAAATTGATACCCTAAAATTTATAGGTCTAGTGTTCACTTCCATCAACTAAATTATGTAATGTTGTTTTACGCTTTGTTTTCTTCCGTTCTTCTTCCAATCTTCAGCCTCGGACACGTACTTAGGTTAACTCTTCGATTCTTAACAATTCATAGATTATTCAAAACTTACGAAAAAATATTCATTAACATGTTCATGCAGGTTGTAGCTCTGAAGATATAAAAGAATTTTCTCTGATATTTGAGAGCGGAGTTTATAAATACTGATAGAAAAAGCTTATCAGCACAGACTGTGGGTCTAAAGTGTACCTTTTCCATTCAAACGAGATGGACTATGGTGGGGCTGGATGGACTCTATGTCCCGAGTAGCTAGTCCGCGTATACAATGTATATTCAGTATTGTCCTACCTCTCCACGCGTTAGGGCAAAAGGGATATGGGATGGGTAAAATTTGCAGATTTCCAGCGATTTCTTCCTTTACAAACTTTGACTCCGTGCTCCTCCTCTTTCAGAGGAATTCATAGGAGGAGTTACACAAAATTTGAAGTATTCAAGTTAACAAATGATTATTTTCGTATAATTTTAGTAGCCATACCAGATATAAATAAGATTGGTATAGATCGTCGTCGTAAACAGGGCTGTCTATGTCGTACATCATATGTAATGTGGTTACTACCGTTTATAAACGATGTACAAAGTCGAGATAGAACTTTAACGCGTGTTCCACCGATCACTGCTCAACAACAACCGCAGTCTTCAACAGGACCCTACATGCAACCGCCAAACTTGACATCTCTTCCAAGTAATATGAGTGTGTCTACAGGTGGAAATATACCCATGAATGATCCCACATCACCATCGTATAATGAACCTTATAACATACTTATGGGTGCACGAAACGTTGCCACATCATCACAAACACCACCTGATTCAGTTATGTTAGAAATCGGTCAAAATGTAGTATTATCTTCGAGAGGATATATTAATTTTATACATGAAATTTTTCGTCAGGTAAGTATAATAGAAAACTTAATTAGTATAGTTAATGTTTTATGCGTTTTTTTCATATCTCTTTTAGAGTTATTTGATGTCCGATGATAATGGCACAGCAGCCTCTCATATACTACGTTCTGTAAATAATTGGATTAAGGAAAAACAGTCACGCCCAGTATTTATGTTGGAACCTGAAAGCGAGCATAACCTATGTCGTTCATCAGCATCATCCGTAACAATAACGAGTAGCAGTAATCTGGACAATGATACAGATAACCATTTACGTTTGGGTCTAGATCGTTGGTTGCAAATATTTATGACACAATCATTTTATATGTTTCTTGTTCGATCCGGTGCAACTGAAGATCAACAAATGACTACAACTTATCCACAAGAACAATTTCAGAGAGATCGGTTACTAGCTGGTCTTGTGACATTTTATAGAAAATTACCGTTAAGACATACACCCGATAAAACAACATGGTAAGAAGAATTTGTCTGTATTAAATGAATATTTTTCTATTCATTTCATTATTTATTCATTATTTCATTATTCTATTCATTTCATTTGTCTATTTAACAGGGATTTGATGTTACGTGTTATGCTTAAAGTAGCTCAAGTATCATTGCCAGATAAACCGCCGCAATTTTATAATCATTCCCATGTGGAAAATACTATTAAAGTATGTAGATTCAATCTCATTTAGCATATAAAATGTGTCATTATTTGTTTTAGACGTTATTGTATTTATTTCATTCGGCTGCACTCAGTATTAGTGTTGAATTATGGAATAGTTTAAGTGATACGTTGTCATCGAAAGTAGCATGGCCAGAAGTAATTGAACAGTGGGATGTAAGTGATGAATTTGTAAAGAGAAAAAAATACACTTAATCGTATATAATTATTCTCTAGTTAACAATGAGAGGATTAACAAAAGATCTTGGTAGACTTGTTTATAATGTTGAAACAGAAGTAACAACAGTAAATGCAATGACAACAATCCGTAAAGGAGGAAAAAAAATTGTACAAATAGGTGAACAAGGTAAAAATTATACGGATGTTGTTTAATTAATTTTAATCTTATATTATCTTTGTAATTTAGAGCATGGTAATCAAGCAGCATCTTCTAATGAAAATCGAACCAGACGTGGTAGAACATTGAGTTCAGATGATGAACATGATCTCAGTGATCCAAGAGTAATGGGTACATTAACCACGACTAGACGTATACGAACAAATAGCGACGACAGTGTATTATCACATCCATTCCAGCCAAACAGAGTAAACATAAGAAGATTTTTAACTACTAAAAAAATAAATGATCAATCTTTGTTTCTAGCCAGCATTACCAACAATTATTAGTAATCATGTTGGAGAAGCGTTAGAACAACCAATTCAATATAATCTAGACGAAAATTTTACATCTAATTTACCTAAACAGTTTACGGATAAAAGATCAAATTTGGGTATACAAATAGCAAAAGAGTCACGTATGTGTAGCAGTTTATTTTTAGTCGATTACATTTTTTTTTATTTTATTTATAAATGTTTTTTAGCAAGTCCAATAAACGAAATGCATGGTCTTGATTCGCCAACAAGTGAAGGTTTAAGTGAGGATTTTGGTGGTAGCAGTACTGGTGTTGGTGAAACGAATAGTATAGGAAGTTTACAAGGAGCAGCTGATAGTTCAATAGCAGATGGTCCTAGTCTTAGCACAAAAAGTAAATTTATTTATTTTTAAACTGTCTCTATAGACAACTTTGATTTATTTGATTGAGATTTTCTATCCTTATTTATGAATGATGAAGAAAGATTAAATAATTTTATTTTTATTTTTAGGTAGTGCTTTTCATATTGATTCTCGTTCTCATTCCAATACACTATCGGAAACAAACTTGTTAGATCAACATATGTTACCACTAACGAAAGAATATCCAATCAGTTATTCAACAGTTGATAGTCTTCATTCTTGTAAGAAAAAACTTATTTGTTAAGGGTGCGCCCCCCCTCATTTTGGGCTTTCCGTAGAAATGCTGTGAAATAAAAACTAAAATTTCATATTTTCAAAACTGATTGGAAACTCAATAGAGCACGTTTTCCTTTTTGTTTCAAGTTTCTAACTATTGTCATTTATGAGTTTTCCAGAAAAGTCGATTTTTCATTGTGTCACATTACGACCCCCCGTTAAATTTCATTCGATCGAGTTAAAAATTTTACCAGAAGTACTCAAGGTCGTAGCGCAGAGAGTATAATTTTGGAATTTTATTTTAGATCTTTGTTTACCGAGTTATAGGAAAAAATACCGAAACACTTTCAAAAACCAAGTTTTTTAAATTTTAGAAACCGTATAACTCGGTAAAGAAAGGTCTAAAATAAAATTCCAGAATTATATTTCTACGCTATGACCTCGAGTATCTCTGGTAAAATTTTTAACTCGATCGAATGAAATTTAACGGGGGGTCGTAATGTGACACAATGAAAAACCAAGTTTTCTGGAAAACTGATGAACGGTAATAGTTAGAAACTTGAAACAAAAACGAAAACGTGCTCCATTGAGTTTCCAATCAGTTTTGAAAATATGAAATTTTAGTTTTTATTTCACAGTATTTCTACGGAAAGCCCAAAAAGAGGGGAGGGGTACCCTTAAGTATGGACTTCCAGAACTTATCATTTATTTTTTCTCTAGTTCCACAAGATTCGACAACAATAGACAGTAGTGATACAGCTATGGGTGCGAGGGATAATTCTAGTCTACCATTAGAACCAGAAACAGCGTACACGGCTTGGTTTCGTATGCTAGGATCATTAGGCAATATAAATCAAATACAATCACCGGACCAACATAATCGTATTATGAAAACATTATATGAAATATGGAAAATACTTTGTAGAGTATGTAATTAGAATAGAAAAATTGATTAATTCTACATATTTTATATAATTGTTTAGATACATGAAGGATCAAAACAAACTAGACAAGGTGATGTTTATTTTAATGAACCACCATTACTGATATTTGCTCCATGGCTTTACGAGGTTTATATTTTATTAATACTAATATTTATTTTATTAATATTAATAATAAATTGTAGGCTATTCAGACATTACCTCAAACACATCGTGAAGGAAAATTATCTGCTTATAAACTATTGTGTTCAATAGGCGTTTATAATCATGATGAACCGCCCTCTCAAGAATTTCTTGACATGTTTTTATTGACATTATATCAGGGGTTAAATTCTGGTGATCAGGTATACTCTGTCATTATCACTTCTATTCTATTTGATACTAAAAAATATTGTCTCTATTTTAAGGATATTATCAATGCCATAATTAGTTCATGTAAAGCAGATTTATTTCATCGTTGTTGGCCATCATCAACATTACTGTTGCCATTGTTTACTGACGCTTGTTGTCAAATTGGTCAGCAAGCATCGATTGTTGATGGAAAAACGGTATTATTGAATAGACAGCATTTATTTACTTTAGTATCTAATGTCGAATTTTCTCTTCTAGAATCCAAAAGTGGAAGCTCTTACAATATTAAGTAGTTTAGTTTGTTTTCCAAATCATTTTGAACAACTCGATGTTTTTATTTTGAAAGAAAAAGATTATTCTACTGTAACTATGGATCGTGCCTATTTAAAACGAATGATAATGAGAGATTTAATAAAAGCATCAGAGAAAGATACAATGCTAGAGTCAAGGTTTGTTATTAAGAAAATGTATTCTATTTTTATGTATTAATTGTTTGTGTTATTTTTAGAGAAATAGCTCTGTGTGGTTTGGCTATTTTTATTTGTGAAGAATTGAAACATCAACGATTAGAATCTCCCATTAAACCATTTATGTTATTTATTGTGGAAAGTCTGCAGGTTAGTTGCAAATTAAAATCATATAGATTTGAAATGTCATTAAGTTAGACAACATAAGTAAAATATTGTTGTTTGAAGGCCCAGAGTAAAGCGTCACCGTCAGCTCATAAACATGATGACGTGAGTAAAGCAGTACTAACAGCTATATACTTTGGTGGTCATATGTTTCTTTTGCTTGCTGGCATCTCTAATAATCAAAATGAAAGACATATTTGTTCGATTATAAGATAAATGATTCAACGTCGTTTTTCAGCTATGACACAGATGATTATTTTGAATTCATTAAGCTTATTTGGATTTTTTCAATCACATTTTACTTTGTCACCGTATATTTATGAAATAAGTCTTTTCATCTAATCAGAATTGTAGAACAAGTAAACCGTCTGTATTAGGCATGTACTAATTATATAACTGATATCAGGATATCTAGAAAAATTGGTACAAAATGGTTATTAATATTCCGCTCGAGCTGCTCTATTCGTTAGACGAAAAAAAATTTAAACTTAATTCATTAATTAATTATGTGTAAACTTTAATTATGACACAAATATGAGCAGACTAAAATACCATAGCTGTGCATGATAAATGGTCATTAGTTATATAAATGCTCGTGTCTCACCAGCACTTTATCAAAAAAACTTTTAACCTTTAACATTTTGTTTGACACAAATCGATAGACCAAAATTATAGGTTCACCTTTATTTTTAATTTTTCTCCTCGACCATAATAGTTAGAACAAATGTGAAAAAAGATCTGAACAACTGAAAGAGTTTATAATCAGGTGAGATGCATATGAAAATTCCTGCAAATCCAATCTGTGGAAAACCAAGATTTTAGAAAATCCAAAAAAATCAAGTTTCGCGATTTCAACGGAAACTTTTTGTAAATAGTCCATTCGTATAGAGTAAACATTTCTGAACAAAATTAGACGTCACCGAACTCTCCACGACGTTTTTTCATCGAACTACATTCAATTTACGAAAGGTCCCTCAGTCATTTTCACTACCATTTTTGCTCTTTTTCCAACGATTTTGCTGATTGTGACGTGGAGGGACCTGTCGTAAATTGAATGCAGTTCGATGAAAAAACGTCGTCGAGAGTTCGGCGACGTCTAATTTTGTTCAGAAATGTTTGCTCTATACGAATGGACTATTTACAAAAACTTTCCATTGGAATTGCGGGACTTGATTTTTTGGGATTTTCTAAAATCTTAGTTTTTCACAGAGACGGTTTGCAGAAATTTTAATGGAATTTTTATATGTACCTTACCTGGTTATAAATTCTTTCAGTTGTTCAAATCTTTTTTCACATTTGTTCTAACTATTATGGTTGAGGAGAAAAATTAAAAATAAAGGTGAACCTATTATTTTGGCTACTACTGTAGATGCCTCAGAAAACAGCCCGAAATAATTGATACATATACCTCATCCGTATATTAATGATTCCGCGAATGAGTTTGAAAACTATTTTGAAAATACTTTTTAAACCACATTTTTCTTTCTCTTCTTTTAAGAGTGCTGATTCAACAATGTTTGCTGCCGATATGCTACGTTTTTTATCGTCCTATGCTACTTTATTGTCAAATCATCGTGACAATGTTTCCGGTAATTTATACGTATTAATTATTGATGGTATAATAAACACATTAACTTTCAATATACCATCTGATGTTGGTTCATTATTGCGTAATAATGTTCGCATTATAAAATCATTAATATTTGCCCTACTTGACTGGATTTTACATATACCCTATCATTATCTTGTTAATATCACTTCTCATAATAGTCCAACGATAAAAACTGCCCAACATCAACAACAATCTATAATACAGCGAACATTTTCAATTTTAATTGATCTTTATCGTGCTAGTGATAGATTACAGAGAGAACAACAAGAAACAACGACAACGGAAGAAATACCGTTGAGTCAATCGATTAAATTGTGTGCAAAATTTGCCATTATTTGTCTGTTAAGTGAACATTCACATTTTCCAATATCGGATGATGATGCTTCACTTGTAACAAGTTGTGTTAATGAAGGACATGATTGGCCAAATAAATATAGTCAACAACAATTACAACAACAAACGGATTCTGTGTCACAAGATAGTAGTTCAATAACAGATGAAATGACCGTTCAATCAGCCAATATTCAATTATTTGTTCTTCATAATGATTTTCTTGTATCGTTTGTAGAAATACCGTCTGATTGTACAACTCCTACAGACGAGAATACAACAAATGAAACTGAAGAAAATCATCAAACAGCAAGTTCTTTAACATCAAGATCAACAATTTGTCGAACAATCGTGAGAGATTTGTGTGGAAAATATTGTTGGGATAGTTATGCATGGGATATTAGTCACGAATCAAAAGCAATAGTCACATCAACCGTTAACAAATCTATGGGTAATAAGCAACTTGCTACCTTTTTATTCTAATTTCGAAGCACGAAGGGATCAAATCTTTTTTTTTTTAGATTTGACATGGCCATCTGTATCAACCTATGAACCAATGGTTACTACGCGTGGTATCACAGTTTCGATAAATGAATCAGATAATTTACCAACTTATAAAAATCAAACACCAGATGTTGATATTTTAGATAAAGTAACTTTTTTAGATTTTGATACTGATTAGCGATAATTCTTGGAAATCTTTTTTTGTTGTAGTTATTACAATATATTTATAATCAAAGTCCAGAATTAGCATTCTACTCTGATAGAACATTAACAGATGTATTTCCAACTCCTACTGTGATTAATAAAAATGATGAAACAGGAATAATACGAATGATCAACGAACAGGAAACATTGGAAATCGATTATTATAAAAATTTATTGGAGAAAAAACAACAACAACAACTACAACCACAACAACAAGTCTCACAAGGTATTTTATAAGATAAGTTTTTATATGTACTCTAAATAACCATAGTCTCTTTTTCTTTTAATAGAAAAGTTGGATGTTCCGAATAGTATTCAAAATAAAAATCGTACACATTCAAACATTTCAAACATATCATCAGCTACAACAACAATCGATCAACGAAATGATCGATTTGCATTATGTCGTTCTCATATTAATCAACTTGGTTTAATTTTGTTTGAAAATCGGTAATTTATAATTTAATATCTTTGCTTATAGAGATAAAATTGTATTGTTTCAAAATGAAAAAGGCAAAAGTGTATAAGGGAAGATTTTTTCCTTTTAGAAACTATGTTATTGCCTTTTTAATTTTGAATCATTAACATATATCGTTCTAATACTAAGATTATTATTATTTTTTTAGAAATAATATTGAATTATTAAATACATCAAAATCAAATTCTAATCAATTATTACGTGAAATGAAGCATTTGGACACATTGCATTGTCGTGAAACACATAAAATTGGTAAAACGAAGATTATTGTACTATCTATTAAGAAAAATAAATAATATTGTTTTATATTTAGCTGTCATTTATATTGGTTATGGTCAAGAGGATAAAACAGCCATATTTAATAATATGAGTGGAAGTTCAAATTATGAAGAATTTTTATTAAATCTTGGCTGGGAAGTTGAATTATCGAAACATACTGGATTTAAAGGTGGTTTACATCCATTAAAAAATACGTATTCTGTTTATTATGCTGATACATTAGTGGAAATTATGTTTCATGTTGCAACAAAAATGGGCACAAGTCATAATACAAATGATGAACATCATCGAAAAATACGTCATATTGGAAATGATGAAATACAAATAATATGGACGGAACATTATCACGAATATGATCGATCAATAATAGCCAGTCAATTTGGAGATGTATTAATTGTTATACATCCATTACCTAATTCATTGTATAGAATTAGGATAGATAAAACTAGTCAAGTAAGAGTAAATGAGATGATGATAGCAAAGATAATTATTAATTTTCTCGAAAAAAACAACAACATTTTGTTGCATTATCGTTCGTATCATATAAAAAAGCTTAGCAGCGCAAATCTTGGGTCTAGGACTGTAAAAGTTCCCGTTACTTCTTCGGCCGTTATCGGCAACGTTAACTGAAAATACAGTTACCGTTACTTTAACGATAATTACGTTTCTAGTTACCGTTGAAATAACGGTAACTATCAGTTAGTTAGCTTCGTGGTAACTATTTTTTTAAGTATGGTAGAAATATCCACACAGCGGCTTAAAATGGTTTCCAAAGTCGTTCGTTTTCCACTAAAACTGTTCAAATTTTCATAAGTGACATGATTTTGTAGTCTAATTTCGTTGATGAAAACAAAAAGATTTCTCAAGCTGGCTGTAGATGCTAAGGTCTCCATAGGCCTTAAAAACCGCAGTTACAAAACATTGAAGTTATATAATTTCGATTAGTTTAGTTGACTGACATGTGTGTGCCAATCAAAATCATGTCATTTATGATAGTTTCAACAGTTTTAGTGGAAAACGAACGACTTTGGAAGCCATTTTAAGCCGCTGTGTAGATATTTCTGTCATACTTAAAAAATAGTTACCACAAAGTTAACTAACTGATAGTTACCGTTATTTCAACGGTAACTGGAAACGCAGTTAGCGTTAAATCAACGCAATGGGAACTTTTACAGTCCTACTTAGGTCTAAAGTGTAACTTCTCCGTTCAAACGTGAAGGGCTGAGTTGGGACTGTATGAAACCCATGCCTCGAGTGTGTACGCTTACTCGTTCAAATTTGACGGCGTTAGCTTGTCTGCGTATACAATGTATATTCAGCATTGTCCGCAGGTCGCGTACGTCCGCAAGCGTTAAGGGAAGGGGATATGGGGTGAATAAAATTTTTAGATTTCCACCGAGTTTACAAACTTTCACTCCTGTTGTTCTTCCTCTTTCAGAGGAATTCAGAGAAGGAGTTACAGAAAACGTTCTATGTAGAGAATAGTAATTCTATACTTTCGTAGATAGACATTCTCTTGTGTTACATTTTGTTCATTTATTTGCAGACAACCAATTTTGGTCCATTATTCGATGGTGCAATTGTTGATAAATTTGTATTGGCTGAATTAGTTCGTGTTACAGCAGTTAATGCAAGTCGTGCACGACGAACAACTCTAAATAATCATTGTGAATTGTATCCTTTTTATTTTCTCATCACTTTTTCTTTAACTCATTGTCGTATTGGTTATTTCTTCTTTACAAATGATGTTATTTCTCTACTTTACAGTTATGAAGAACGACATCGTATTATTAACAGTATTATACGTACACATAAAAAAGAATCAACATATGAAGATTTCTTGGCAAAAGTTTTTAGTCCGTATGCAACCAAAACATTGTGTATGTAAATTCTTTAAAAAAAAGAAAACAATTATTTTTATTAAATTGTGTGTGTGTGTGTGTGTGTGTGTGTGTGTGTGTGTGTGTGTGTGTGTGTGTGTGTGTGTTTGTGTGTGTGTGTGTGTTTTTCTGTTTGTTTTTGTTTTTTATTTTGTTTTTTTTTTTTATTTTTATATATATTTTT